AGTAAACATGTTAAACAGTGACTGTAAAAATGTTAAACAATGAAAGAAAAATAGCTAGGTAATCATGTTTTGTTACTTCAAAATGAAACAAGATATTCTCTTTCGTAACCGAGTTGTTATGTAGGAAGGTACATATCTATTGTTCTTGGCAATGCTGTATGCAGCAATAAAATCTGTGTAAACTGAATACAAGATTGGTCATAGTTGTTGACTATTTTCTAAGATAATTAAATTGATTTAGATGTAACCAAAAAACAACTGAAGTGTCACATTCTTGTCTGCTCTAAAAATGTTAGACTTCTAAAATATTTGCAGAGTGATGGTGATAGTTAACAGAAATCAAAAGACAGTAAAAGTACCAAAGTGGGGAAAAAAAACACAGCTTGCAAAAAGTGAAAAAGAGACTGAATAAAAAAAATTTGTTGCATATGAAAAACTGTTTAATACAGATTACAATGTTATGAACAGAAAATAAATAATTCAGGAATTTCAAAGATTATGAGCTCTACAGAGCAAAAGTGGTGTTGAAGTAGGGATGAGCTGTTTGAATGACAAGGCATATAAAGATTTTTGTATAAGCATTTCAAATTGTTTTGAAAGATGAAACAACAGAAGATTTATGCACAGCAATATTTATTAGTATCCTCATGGATGAATCAGAGAAATGATTGAACATGAATTAGTTTATTTAAGCTATGTGTGGTAAAATGGTGAGGTTAAAATCAAACTAGCTGATACAGAGGCACTTGATCATGGGTATGCAGCTGGAGTAAAAGAGGGAATACTGAAGGGGTTTGAATCTGTGGGAATTACACCAGAAAGTCTTAGGGAAAAGCTTGTTGGAATAAATACTGTTGGGTCCGCTGTGAAATTACTTATGGACAAAGTAAATGAGCATTTAGAAGAAAATAAGAAATTTTACAAATTACTGTAGTAGTTCATTTTATTACACACAATTTAAAGCAAGCAGTTTGTGATGCTAAAATGGGTTGTGGGTATGTTGATGAATTTGGTAATGTTATGACAAGTGTATTCAAACAGTATTATCATGAACCATGATAGGGGTTAGTAATATAGATTGGAAGGAACTGTACAAAATCCTACTAGAATATTAAAAAAAAAAATTGCCTTAAGCAGTAAAGATTCAGTTTAAACAACACTTTAAAACATTTACTATTGACTGTTAAGGCTGTACACATACAAAAAAGCATGCATGTTAAATTACAAGGAAAAGAAAATCTGCTCAAAATGGCCCATTTGTAATTCTTCTTCTTACTATTATTATTCTCTTGCCAGTCTGCAACAAAAACAGCTTGGTATATTGCAAATGTCATAGGGGTATTGAGAGGTCAATTTATTTCTTCTATCTGGTATCCCTTTAAAAAGCATAAGTACAGGGTGAAACAGGAATTACCAGCCAATAATAAATGAACATTAGATGACTGTAGCATGTAGGTTCTCAATGCTTTGTACCTTATACAATCTGTGCCTCTAGGGAGCCAACCCCTAAATTGTGTGTGAAGTGAAGGAGTAAAATAAAATAAAAATCTATACAATAATATTAAATTTCATTACACACATTCGTAGAATAGTTACTTTAAAAGACACAAAGGTTTATTTAAAGCAATATTTTAGATATACATGTTTTATTTGAAAAAGCTACTTTTCTACTGGTAAAATTTTACACACACTTAGTGGGGGTTGTGTCTTAGTCTAGGAATGTATTTGTCTACTGCTTTGCATTCTATATAAAGAATTTAGTTACACAGAAGCTATAAATGCTCACTATATTCTCAACCAAATCTCCAGCTGCAACTTAACATTTTACATCTCCAACTAATGTGATCAGATAGTCAACAGCTACAGTAAATCATTACGAACCGTATCAGCTAGCTGCTAGCTATGTTTATTATCATTAGAATGTATAAGTTTAGCTACCATATAATGGGAACTTAGAAACCTGCAAACAGGGATTATACAAAAAAGTAAGGAGACAAGGCTGGAAATACTGTAGACATTATTTACTCAATCTACAAATCCTTATTTTGACTCCACCAAATGAAATTCTAGGTAACAACATGGAGTCCAAATAGTGTTTCGTAGTTTGAGTAAATAATATCTACAGTATGTCTAGCATTGTTTTCTTTTTCATGATCCCTGTATGCAGTATTTAAATTTCCCAATTTTTTATTTAACTTGTTTTTATACACCAAACATAGGAGAGCTTTATGAAGTTGCAGTTTCATTGGATCAAGAATTACAGCACTGGGTAGCAAGCCAGAACAGAGAACTTAAAGCATTTCTTGACAACTAATGTCTGTAGGACATCACTAACACAGGTAGAGATTACATCGCACAGACAATAAGGGGGGGGGGGCTCATAACTGAGTTGAAAACCCGAGAGGTTTTTAACCTTCTTACACATTGTGATAGACTGGACAAATTTGCTCTCTGAAGTTTCAGTCCTTATTCAATAGAAGAAAAGTTTGATTTTTGAAATAGGAAAGAAGGTGAATGAACTGAAGGAAAATTGTCAACAAGGGAAGATGGCGAGGCAAAATGTTGAAAAACTTTCCAAGTGAAACTGAAAATGGTGAATTTACAGGAGGTGAAAATGGCTAAGCTCAGACAAAGAAGTTACAAAAGAGCAAATAAATGCTGAAATATATTAGCTATTGTCATCAACTGAATTTTACATAGAAGAGAGACTCATAAAACACCTTGGAGGTGAGCCGCATCCTCTATTCAACATATTCGATTTTCACTTTTGGCCATGTAAGGATAATAGTTCTGAAGAGTTCAAAGGCTATGGACATGAAAATGGTAAGACAATATTGCCCACTGTTATTAATAAAGAAGCAGAATATGCCTTGGAAAAGAAGTTGGATTTGAAAATTTATATCACTAGAAATCTCAAAAACCTGTTACATATGCTTATGAAAGCATTTTAGTTAATGAGGATGTTGAGAATTTAAGACAGAATGTGAAAGGGCATTGTGCCAACTTAACAAGATTAGTAAACATTTTTTTAATTTAAAAAGGGAAAATAGGGATGGTCAAACAAATTATAGAAACAAGTGGAATCAAAATGCAAAGATTATGCTTTCAAGCATACAACTAGACTCTAAAAAAGTAAACAAACAAGGCTGAAAATAGTGTCTACATAATCTTCTCAAGCTACAAATCCCTATTTTGACTCCACTAAAATTGATAAGTACTACAGACATGGGATGGAGAACTGTCGTATAAAGACAGGTTAAAGTCCTTAAAATTATTTTCTATTGACAAAATAAGAGATAGAGGATTTCTGATTGTAGTGTTTAAATTTATATACAAGATTGATGCCTTTTTTTCATGTTTAATGGTAAGAGTGATAACACTAGGAAATGCAGATTTATATTTTGACATATAGAAATTCTTTGCAAATTAGATAATTTGACTTTTCAAATAGGGTGGTCAACCTCTGAAATAAATTGCCTTCAAATGTGATACATGCTATAGAATTGTAAGAGTTCCAGAAAGGGTTTAATAAGACAAGTGCTTGAAGATTCAGAGCTAGATATAATACACAAACGTACATTAGATGAAATGAATGGAACAGCCACGATGGTCCAAGGGGACCCTTGTTGTCCCTAAATGTTATGGTAATACTAATAATAGTAAAGTTAAAAGAATTTTAGGGTGTATTTATGAATCATTGATTACAACTCAATGCAAATTACTACTAAGGCCTCACTTGAAGTTAGAATATGGTGTTACCATATTTTTTTTGTGGCTTAAATATTATAATTTTATTCTGAATCTTCGTGTGGGTTATAGTTCATTTAGCAGCAAAATTTATATTACTCTTAAGATTTTCTTGTAATTAATCTATTTTTGAAGTTATTAAATACTATGTACAATTTTGGTTTCCTTGTCTCACAAATACTGACTTGTTGGAAATGATTCAGGGAACTGTTAGTACTTAGATTAATGGTACTTAGATGTAAGAGTTATCTTAAGGGAATAGGTTAAGATTTCTAAACTTATTTTCTCTTGAATAAAAAATACTAAAAAAGGTAAGAAGTGATCTTAAAGTTTTCAATTTTTTTTAAGGCTTGACAAGATAAAAGACTTCTAATTTATTTATTTCCTATTCTGAAGACAATAAACCAATAGGGCACAATCTTTGAAAAAAAACAGTTAAGTTTTATTTTTCTCCCGCTATTAGAGCGATTGTCTTATTGAATGAGTTGCCATTAGCAGTAGTGAAAGCCATTCACTTTATCATACAACTAAAAGAGTTTATGAAGAAAAATATTGATTTCCTGAAAAATAATTGGCGGACTTAAATGTTTTCTTTTCTCGTGGGCCAGTGTACAACTACAAGTTACAACAGCGTTGACTTGAAGGACAAAATAGTCCCTTGTTATCCATATTTTAAAGTAAATATTAGTTTCATTTAAATCACTTATGTCTTGCGGTATTTAATTCATAAAAGTAGTACACCACTTAAACCACAATTATTTATTATTACAAAAACAAAGATGTTTTGCTACATGTTTCAGCCACATGACTAAATTATTGAATACTTTCACCGCCTCAATGTTCTGTATATTAATATTAAAAATAATAGTGTAGTATTACTATTAGGCGCGTCAAAGAACTATGTTAGTTATGCTTACCAATTAATAAGAACATTAATTTCTGATCAGATAGTACAGCTAATTACACGCGTTGTTTTTAGTTTACATTCTTACTTCTAAATCTTAAGTTGTATTAGTATTATAAATAATTTAGAATGCATTGTTTCTTCAGGAATGACGCCATGATAAAGTAGTAAAATTCTAAACAAAGTAAATACGTTTAGTTGCTGAATCCAAAGAGTTCCAAATTCAGTAAGGTGTCTACATAATTATTTTTTATTACAAAAGTATATAACGTAAATCAATTATTATTAATTGTTTTATATATATATATATATAAATCTAAACGCTAACAAATCAACATTCAAAACTTACATTGCAACGTGGTAACGGTAACACAAACGCCACCTAAACAAGACTGGCTGATGAAATTGTAGTCGACACTCCACCGTCAAGCGACGAAAACTTTGTTTCGTTATTAATACGAGACCTGTATATAGTGCGTTGACTACGCGTGCCCACTACAGGGATGAAATCTTAACATTAGTGTTATATAAGTATTCGTGCTTACCGCTAAGCCATCGAGGGGGGCGTGATAAAATATATTGCATAATCTGACAAAGATCCGGGGATGTTAAAAAGTAATGAATTTTGCTTCATCCCAGTCGTAATAATACTAGATAACGTGAAAGTTATTTTTACTTAATTGTTAGGCAACGTGAGGACAGTTTTATTACAGTTGTACTTGTGTCACCTTACTAAACCGAAAAAGAGCTGCCTAAACAGAGCAGACTACAACTTTGTACTATTGTTACGCCTCCAGTCGTTAGTTAATTTTCCGTAAATTCGTTCCGACGAAACTTTAGCGACACAAGTCCTTTCTTAAATAAAACTGGTTTATTATTTCCGAATAAAACTTTACGATACGCTTAATTTCAACAGTCGCTCTATAACAACACTATAACTCTCAACGAACTTCTCACGTGCTTAACAATATTCTCTCTGACTGCAGTTCAATTACTCATTACCTCTGTTGTCCCATCACGTTTTGAACGTCTTATATATACAAGACTAACACATATCTAGTAAATGCTAGGGCATTCTTGAAGGAAAAGGATATTTCTAGAAACAGGTGGCGTGATACTAGTCACGTGACCTCGCTGACGCAACACTTCCCCTCCTTAGTATTGTTCGTCCCGAACAATAGCCACTTACAATAAACCAATAACAATTAACAATAACTTAATCAAAATGTACAGAATTATAAACACAAAATTACAATTCAACAAAGTCTCTTAATTTTACTGGACGTATCTTCTTCCGTACTGGTCTCCGTCTCGTTGGCTTCTGCTTCATATGGGGTTCATCTGCCTCATCAGGAAATGCCCTATCGTCGATAACAATCACATCAGTGGTAGTAACTTCATCAAGAGCTTCACCGTTTCCCTTCTCAAAACTGAGTAGAGTTTCTTCTTCGACGGTGGCTTCTTCAGGTGGCACGTCTTCAGCAGCGTCATTTGTTCCTTTCTTCACTTCGTCCCAACTGAAATGTCCTGAACCGTGATAACGCCAAATCCTGTTGGCATGCACCATTTTTGGCTTACCTCGCCGACAACATTTTATCCGGAAAGTCACGTCTGAGAGACGATCTACTATGTCATATGGGCTTTCCCATGGCGAAGACAACTTAGGAGACTTCCCTTTGGTCTTCCTGGGATTATACAACCATACCTCGTCTCCTGGTACAAAACTGACGTCAGTAGAGCTCTTATCATAAGTTAACTTCATCGAATCAGTAGATGTTTTCAAGTTTGAACGCACTTGATGGTGAATATCATCCATCCTTTCCGATAACACTTTCACAAACTCTGACACATTCTCAGGCAACTCTTCATAAGGTGGGCGTCCTGTTAACCCGATGACTACCGGTACTAACTTTCTTAGTAGGCAATGCAAGTGTGCATTTGTGAATTGAAAACATGATAGAGAACTTATCTTTTAATGGATTTCTGATTTTATTTTTATAAATAGTAGCATAACATTCAATTATTTGTACAAAATTGTATTCTTTAATGAAGTTTAAAAGAGGAATTTAATGAAGAAATTCCTAAAATACGTTTTAGACTGTAAATAAGCGCCCTCTAAGAAGAAATGTTTTTTTCAAAAATTTTTTTAAGATATTTCCTTTCACCTCAGCACTGGTTCTGCCATCTATGATTGGTATCTAAACCGTTTTCTAGTCTGTTTTCTTTATAAAACTGCGACACAAGTCCTTTCTTGTTGTAAAACTTTTAGCCAATCCTAGTCGAAAGTGTCAATTTCAGTACCAATTATTCCAATTGCTGTATCTCCCATTTGACAAATCATTGGATGATAAGGAAAGCACGTGATGAAAAGTTGTTTTCTGGAT